AATGCATGTTACCAACCTCTGCTTGCCATGAGCCCATTCTGTGCACACTCTGTCTACTAACCACTGATTGCTGCAAGCTGCCAATCGTTGTATAGCCAGCGTTTCTGCAGCTTCCCTTCCCCAGAAAACCATTGGGTTCCACACTGTAACTTCAGTCAGATATAAGACTGTATTGAAACGGAGGCACACAAAATGCGTCCACTACAGGGGATGCAAGGGTGTGTGCAGTCATCAAAGAATGAGCTGGCCCACAAATCGGTCTAAACATATCTGCTTAGACTTGTTGGGCTTTGCAGCTTCCTCCCAGCTGTTTGTAATGCCTTTTGGACCGTGTCCAAGGTTAATGCTTGTGTGACAAGTTCGATACAACTGTGTGGACCACTCAAAAGGCCACTGATCAGATCCTTCTGTGCCTTTGTCACCTGCATGGTACACGGCTTCACTGATTATGGCTATTCTGAAAAGTGGAATCAAGGGAATGTGCAGCCAGGGCCATTCACCTGACATACTGACTTACCCTTGCTTTTTAATCACTGCCAACAGCCGTGTGTCGAAACCACACTGTTCGAATCTGCTCACTGGCTTTGGTGGGTCAAAGCCAGACACCCTCACGCCCAATGTGTTCCTCATGAAGTTGACCTGTCACACAGTTGTGACAAAAAAGGTTGTCGGATTTCTGCTTTACATGTACCCTCCCCTCTTGACATGAGGCTGGTCTCAAACACAGTGAAAACCATCTTTGGTAATGTTTTGTCCAGGTTGCACACACTGAACACCCAAGGCACAACATGTCATATCTTTCAAGTGCTCGCGTGCCCGACTTCACATTTAGCAACAGTTTACTATCCATTCGCAAAGCCTATCCAGGATTATTGTCAAGGACATCACTGCCAATGGCCATACGTGCCCTTGCAGAAAATGCAGAAATTCTTGTGTTCACTGGAAAACACAATGAGTGTGGAAACAAGCACACTAACATGGTCATGGCTACAAAAATTTGAGAGCCCAGAGTAGGGTTCGCTGCAATTCCAATCCTCAACAAAGAACCAACATCGGCCTTGCATTTGAACAGCTGAAAGTTTCAGATATTCTGCTGCACTACCATTACCTGCTCTTGGCTCTTTGCAGCAATCTCGGGGACCTCCTCGTAGAAATCTTTTGCAAACTCTTCATAATCAATTTCGGCATGATCCAAGGGTGGCAAGGATTCTATTGTTTTCTTTTTCTGCCATCCACAATGCAGACACGCAAGCCCTCAGCCTTAAACACAGCCCACAGGGGCGCTCCACTGTGTGATATTCTTGCTGATTGTGAAATACAACCCAACACAGACAGCATTTCACGTTGCCAACGAGGTCTGCGCTGCTGCCTGAAATAGGCTTCCAGCTAGCACACCAAACTGCATGAGCGAATGTATCCATATCATGCAACATAGAAAACAAGCTGGCTGCGGTGCATGTCTGCTAAACTCGCATCACTCAAATCCACAGACTCTCTCAAGTTTCTTACCCATGTCCACTAGAACCTCACAATGCTTGGCGACAAAATAAATCAAGTGCATTGATTGAACAGGCTGTTGCAGATAAATTCCAGCTAGCAATATGGTATGCAGTGCTGGGAGTGTCCCCAGGTTCAAGGAGGCAGTTGTCAACCAACTGGGCAATGTACAGCCAGCCCTGCCAATGGTCTGAGATCTTTATTACCAAGTTTGACAGAGCATGACAAAGTACTGCCCTGACAACCTCAGTTACACCAGCAAGGTTCTCCAATCCACATTATGAAATATAGTTGGGCATCCAGTCTACCTTTACTCATGCGATCCCAGGTTAGAGTATTGGCACACATTTCAACCTGCGATCGCAGGACTGGTGCGGTCACGGAGTGCCCTAGGGGTCACATCAGTACATTGGCCTGCGATCGCAGGTTGTGATATAGCGTTGGTACTCAGGCATTGAAAAAAGGTTTAGCTTGAGAACGTCAGTGCATGTCCCTTCACCTCTTAGTGACGGTGAAGTAAGGCAAGGTCAGCATGACCCGACAGGAGCACACTCACCACCTTGTGTCACAAGAGCTGCAGGGCCAAGATGTGGCCCATGTAGTTGTGTGTGACATTGCAGGCAATGAGAGTGACAGTGTCTCATGTTGCATGACAAGGGAAACAAAAGTCGATCATTTTCGTCCTCCAGACTAGAGAAAAGGTTCATGGCAGCAAATCAGCAGATTACGCCCACTCAGACCCCAATCTGAAAATGAGAAGGAACTGGAACATGACTGAACAGAATTATATGGCTCCAGCAGTCCATACAGTCCCTGGCACATATGCTCACCATGATGGGATTGTCGTCTGAATCGTATTGCATTTCTGCACCATCATCAACAGCCTTTGCTGTGGCATATACTTCATCATCTGAGTTGTCTGCATCCCCAGCAAAGGCAGCTGCGGCAGCAGCGGCTGTGGCCCCTTTTAATTTCCGCGCCTGAGAGCAGAGACAAGCTGCCACCTTCAGTTCCCCAACCAACGCAGTGCACAAAAGCACTGAATGGATGTGTGTTGCTACACTGCTTGTCTAGCATCACAGTTGTCCAAAAACTTCGTATGCACGAGAGGGATGGCCCATTGGATGCCATGCTTTCTTTGTGGCAATGTAAACAATCTTCACCAAAATCTTCACCACATATCACGCAGGAGTACCAACACAATGAGCTGCTGTCCTGTTCCATATGCCCTTTGACAGGCAAAAAACACATCCACGAGGTTGGAATATCCACAGCAACTGGACAATATGCATGTGCTCAGGTATCAGCCACCTCAAAGTACCATTCGTATGGGCATAGAAGTGAGCACTTGGAAACAGCTGCATGAAGTGCAATATGCCCATATGCATTATCTGCACTGAACTCGACACCCCAGGGCACAACACAGAAAAATGGCACACTGGAGATGTTTAGGCTGTAATAAGTTGAAACACAAACCCATTCACCACAACAAGTTGAAAATACCTCCAAGAAATCAGCAACATGGTCTTCCTCATCACAAGCCAAGTCATCGTCAGGCACAGCGGCAGCTGGCTTGCTGGCTTTCATCTCCTCATCTATTTCGGCCATGAAGGCGTCCAGGGGATCCACCTGACCAAATAACAATAAACCACCTGACACATTTCTACTCCTTGACTGAATGCTTTCTTCACTTCTTTGAGCTGTCCAGATTGCCGCAGCTGATTGAATGCCTGAAGGTGATTCAGTTGACAACAACTTCACCAATCAGGTTCCAAACAAGAGTGCAATCACCACAACAGTGCAGCCGGAATGGCATTTTCTGCACTTTGGATTTGGCGTTTATGACAATCGTGATCTGGACATTCTGCAGGCGGCCCTATGCCTGACACTGCCTTGAAGGGAGTAACCCAATACGCGATTTGCACTCCGAATTTAAACCCCTACCCCCTCTTTCTGTGGACCACTTGGTTCCGACGATCCGCACCTCATCCTCCACTGCATTTGCCCTCTGCCCCTGCAATCTGTTTGGTGGGCCGGTGTTGAACTCACAGACATGGGCGAGTGCAACCTGAGGGGCAAGTAGAAACAAGTTTGGTCGCGTTGCATTGGCAAGTTTTGGCGGACACCAGGACGGGCATTCGCCTTCGCTCAAGGCACAGCGGGGAAACGGGCAAAGGAAAAGGGCATTGAGGATGGGAGCACCTTCTGCCTGCCTGTTTGTTGCCTTCGCAAACAGACAGGGGCAGCTCCTCTGAAATAGGAGTTTTGCTGTTTCAGCATGGGCTTGCACAGAAGTCACGCGCAATCGCAAGCAGACCATGCACGTTTCGCACGTTCGCAGCAAAGGCAATGGGCGCAACGAAGGTACATGCATCGCCATGTTCGGGGGTCCGGCGCCCGCTTCCCACCAGGGAGTTCTTGCCCAGACATCGGTCGTAATCTTCGCCTCTCTGATCAAGGAACGCCTGCTGCATCAAAGCCACAGTTGACAAACTCACACCAGGCAGCAGCAGGAGCGAGGAGCTGTCAGCCACCAGTGCACAAGCCCACACAGTTCATGAAAATGCAGGCCCAGCCAGCGGGGACCCAGGGCACCGTTCTGCCCAGCAAATGCGAATCGAGTCAGCTGTGAGCTGCGCCAATCAACAGCACTCAGATCAGATGGATCGGACCCGCGCCAGGCGCCCAAGCCGCACCTTTATCTCCTCCACGTCCCACGCGGCGAAGTCCGTCGACCCGGCCTGCCAGTCCGCCACGACAACAGCTCATTTTCTCGCCGGCGATCTCAATGGAAGGCGCCCCTCCCCACCTCGAGAGCGCCCCGCCGCACCTGCTGCCCTTCAGAAGCCACCACGCTCGGATTGGGGACCGCGGCTGGTCCGGCGGGGCCCACGTTTCGTCGCTTGGCGCTCGCGTCGGCGCCATCCTGCGACGCTGGGAGTGTCCGTTTCTGGCCCAACATTTGGACAGCGGCTCGCGGACGACGCCGGACCCGGCGCGTTTGCCGTCCCGACCGGAGCCCCAGCAGGCCCCTCGGCAGGTTGTGCCAGGACACCTTCTTGCGGAGTGCCCTTCCTTGTGCGGTTGCCGCTGCGAAAAAAAATGCCCCCAAAAAGGAATAAAAAAGGGAGGGAGGACAAAAGAAATGAGGGGACTGCCCGCTTTCATTCGATGCATCAGCGGGCAAAAGGCGACCGGCGTCCCCATTTGTTCTTCCAACACTGCCTGCCTTTCTTTTCCTGCATTATGTGCGCAATTTTTTGCTTTCCTGCGCTTTGACGGCAAAGGACGCTGCCCCGTACACAAGTAGAAAACGTCATGCTTGCGATGCCAGCTGGGATTCCAATGGACACAACTTGATGCCATCACAGCCCCTTGTGTGTCATCGCAATGACTGTGACGGCACCACTTTGTGTCAAAATGGCAACGCAGCTGGCATCGCAAACATGATGTTTTCTACCAGTGACACTGGCAGAAAGTTTCAAGGGCGATAAATTTTGGGGACGTTGGGAAATTACTATTTTAAAATTTAAAATGCTCGCGACTGAACATTTTACCGGTTTCATTTGACCGCGGAAATAGGCAGATCAAGGGCAATTGTGCCCTGCTGACAGCGACGAACGTCGAATTTACTGCCAGTGTCCTCTACACAGCGTACAACGTATAACCCGTTCGATTTGGGGCCCAAAGCTGCGGCTTCGAAAAGGTGTTGGCGTTCAGATTATTCTCGAACGGGCAGCGAGCAGCAGGGTGAGCACAGGAACGGGGTGATGTAGCGACCATCGCGCTGGTTGGTGTATGTGGAGTGACGCTTCGCGATCGGCTGCAGGCGAGGAACAAGAGGCCGAATCCTACGACTGCAGCCGATCGTGACCGCATGTAGAAATCCCTGTTCCTCGTCGATGGCATCTGAAGGCTGGAATCTGTGGCTGAGCAACCGGCCAGGTAAAGCACCACGCAAGAGGCGTCCAGAATATGGATTCAGACTTGGTTGCGCTTAGAAACTGATCGTATTTACGTTTTTTCGCTTAAAAGCAGTTCTTATGTTTTCACGAGTAAAAACGCGTAAAAATACGTAAATGCACCGTAAATACAGCCCCGTGCACATAAGGACAGTACATGAAGATCTGGGGAATCCGGAGAGTGGCAGTCAGACGCGCTGGAATGGGTAGAAAACGGACCCTTGCTCCATGCCGTGTGTCAAAGACAAATCGCCTTTGCCGAGAGCGAGGTGGACATTGCGTTGCGGGTGCTGGAGATGGCGGGCAACTGATCACTGCACGCGACTTTCATCGTGTAACCTGGCTGTCCCAACGAGCCGCAAAAACGTAAAAATAACTGTAAAAATAGCTCCTTTCGCAAATTTACTTTTCACGCACAAAAACGTAAACGCAAACGTAAAAATCAAACCTGTATGGATTCCAGATGCAAGCCCAAGTTGCAATTGCGCAGAATAACGGAGCCCTAGTGCCGTTGGCGTGGAGGCAACGCTGCCTGCACCCTGTTGGGCGTCCGTCCTCCTTCTGCTAAAAAGCGTCCTTTCCGTCCAATATTAGGCCATGAACGCGCCACCATGTTCTGTGGTGGATTTCGCCATACGGGTTGCATGAAAGTGAAGAAGAACGGCAAATAATTCAACCTGCCCCTGTCCGCAATGCACTAAACATGTGTTTAAACAGGTTGCTCGGTAAACGCACAGCGCACCAGCGAGCCCCAGCAGTATTGACCCTCATTTGCGTAATGCCTTATAATGACCAACGATTCACTGGGTGCGTCACCATTGCTGAATACAGTGCCATTTTAAGCTAATTGCTTGTGCATTTCACGATTTCCACATAAAGGTCCACTGAGAGCTCCAGAATGATGCAGTTCCCACGACTTATGAGTCGTGTGCGTGCAGTAGGTGTCCTTAGATGTTTCTCATTAGCATTCTATACAAGGGAGCGGCACGTGCTAAGACCGACATTTTATCAAGTTTCTGAAGGCGGTTGATGAGAGTTTTCTTGATACGAAGAACTTGCGCCAGCCAGCTGGGCAGGGATTTCTGAGTCCTTCCATGCCAATGGACAACCCATTCCCTGAGTGATTTCAGAGGGGAACGGACAGAATCATCCTTTTCTGTGGCGCAATGGATGGGCTCTGATGCAAAGTGACTGTTACGTGGCCACCGGCCATGGACTATGGCGGAATGGACAAAGAAGGAACTCGAGTGCTACAGGCGGACGCAGACGAACTGTCAGCTGTGATTGCAGTATGGGACCTGTCGCGGAAATTTCGATAACGTTAAGCACGTGACGGGCCATAACGGTTTGCCACGGGACATGTCGACGGCCCATCATATGATGGTCATCATCATCATTTTCACATAACACGGCAACCAGGTGGCCGGTCACGGACATCACGGTTGGTCACGGGACAGAGCAACCTCGGCTACGCCGTTGCAATGCCGGACTTGCGATTGTGAGTCCACGAAACCCTCAGGGGCAAAAAATCGTCTCGCCCAGCCAGCTCTCATCCCGGGCGCGTGCATTTTGAATAATCAAGTGATCAATGCCAGTTGGCTGGCGCTCTCGAACAGGCCATCGACTGTCCCCTGACGCACTGGGCTGCCAGAATCGTGGGACCGCCCACGTGGGCCCACGTGGGCCGTCCCAGGACTCTGTAACCCTCGTGATGGCGCTGGGGACTGGCCGCCAACGGACCGTCACAGACAGTCCCAAACGCATCGGACCATTGGACGCCTTGAGCCCGGCTCGCCTCAACCTTACAGCACACACCTCACAGGCGGACGGCTCGGCACGAAACGCACCCCCCCGCCCCCGGCATCACATTTTGTCCCCCACCGCACACCGGCTTTGCTCACACCCCGTCGAGCTGACGTACGCCCACGAGCAACCCCGTACAGGCATGTCCGGCCTGTGTAACAGTGCGCACGTATCACAAAGACATAATGCGCACCAAAACGCGCCCGCCGCAATACCCCACACCGCACGAAAACGCTTCCCACCTTCACGGCATGGGTAGTGTTCCGCGCGTGTTCTCGCGGTCGGTGACGTAAAGCGGCTGTAAGCCGGCGGTCCAACCACCCCAACCCGCGCGTGGCCCCACCCCCTCCCCGTGTGCGCCGGCGCCCTTTCACCGGCTGGTCCCCCGTCTCGTGCGTGCTCGCGGCTGCCAGCGCGAGGACTCAGAGGCGGCCGGCCATCTTTGCGCGCATCCGATCGGCGAGGGAGCGCGCCGGCGCCCGACGACCCTGGCGCCGTGACAGGGGGGCGAGGTCACCGGGGTGAGTTCGCGACGCGCGGCCCGCCGCTGTGGATGCGGAGTCGGCGATCGGGGCCGGATCGCGGGGGCGACGCCCCGGGGGGTGGCCTGCCCGGCCGTCGCGGCCGCGACCCCATCTTGGCGCCCTTCCGGGCGCAGAGGAGGCGCTGAGAAGCCGCGCAGCGGGCAGATTGGGCGCTCGCCGCGCCCGTTCCTGAGGCGCATGGCCCACCTGGGCGGGCAGAGGCGCGCGCCGGGCGGGTGCGATCGCCGCGAGCTGGGCTGCCCTGGTGTTCGCCCGGCCTCAGGGGATTGTGCATTGTTGAAATGGCCGCGCGCAGCCG